TGAAGTTTATTTACAACACCCTCTTATCGTAAAACTTTTAACTTGACGAGGGGTACATTTCTGGTTAAATATGCAAAATTGCCGTATTTGAAGTAAAATTAATCTTGAAGACACTACCAAGGCTTGAAATTTGAAGTCAAATATTTGCAATTTTGCTATTGTGTCTACAACTGTATTCGTGCGGTTTGCCAAGAGATGGCGTAACCTGATTTTAATTCCAATGTTCCAATATTCCGAAATTGCGTTAGAAAGCTACTGCCTTGAACGCCTTTTTCAGTAAATGTCATTCATTTTACGTGTAAACAACAATATTTTCTTCACCCAAATATGTTCAACTTTCTATGTGAAAAAGAAGAAAACCTTAGCCAAAAGTCATCATATTTTGGTGGAAGTTCAAAGTGAATGCTCTAGCTGAGCGAACGTTCCAAAAGTATTTTGCACGATTGAAAAATATTTGTGTTTTTTGCTTGGAAAGGGCTGAAAGTTCTGGATAGCCAAAATAGTTTGACGATGGTAAACTGGTTAAAAACAAAAAAGTGCTCAAAAATTTGTTGGGAGTCATTCAAGCAACCATTTCATAATATTTAAAATTAGCCGGATACGTTCAAAAACAAGGAAATCGATAAATTGAAACTCAGAAATGTTGAAAGTATGTCAGAAATACTGCTTGGATACCATAAAAAGAAGTCGAATCTTCAACACAAAGGCTGAGAAGTTTTACCTCACCCACCTTATAGCCCAGCCGTTGCCGCTTCTGACTACCATTTGTTCCGGTCGCTGCAGAACGCCCTTACTGGAATACAGCAGGGCAGGGTATCAAAAATTGTCTTGATTCACTCTTGGCCTCCAAGCCGACGCAGTTCTTTTGGAATGGAATCCATAAATTGCCGGATAGACAGAGAAATGTTACAGCTTCAGATGGGTAATACTTTGAATCTAATTTTGACAGTTTTAAAAAATTATCTTCTTGCATGATATTTGGTTTCACAACAAAAGAAATTTGGTGAATAGAAATATATAAAAAAGAATGCTACAATTTAGTTCAAAAATATATTTATTTATATATAATATATAATAATATATGCATGTTATTTCGAATTCAGAGAAAAAATGTCTCATCAAATAATTCTTCGTTCAGAAAGACCGATTTGTAATATTGCATTTTATGTTCCTAAGCTACGGGTAATTCATTGAATGAACAAAATCGTGTACAGTTACGCTTCGATTGATTTAATTTCGAGAATAATTTTGGTTTGCAGGCCAATACGCAACGGTAAATAGAGTGTGTATATGTAGATAAACATATACATTTATGTCACAAGGTATATAAATATATATAAGACCAACAAGTACACATTTTATAAAAAAAAACTCTCTGCATCCTTGGCTCAAAGCTAAATTCTCCACTTTCCCTCTCTCTTCACACTTACAATTCTCAAATAAACAAATTGACTATGACAATGTATAAATGCCTCGGTCCATACAGCATACAGCAGAATGAATGAATATTTGCAAATCTAAACAAATATGAAAAAAAAGAATGTTTTTTCTTTTTAAACACAAAATATGCCTGACTGTGGGCGCTGTCTGCGGGGAGCGACACAAGGACACTAATGATGCCTGCGACAAAGCAGTAACGACAAAGACAACAATGAAGGTAATCATAACAATGTGACAGATGCTTGCTGGCAATAATGAAATGCACTAAAAGCAGCAAGTAGATTGAACACAAAATTTGCAAAAAAGAAGTCACAAATGAAAAACGGCAAAAATGCAAACAAAAAAAAAACGAGATAAATGATGACAATACAAGTAAAAAATTAAACAAACAAATCAGCCAAGCAAGTAGTCCCTTGGAACACCAACAAATAAAAATCTCAATTTGGAACTAAAATGTTAGGCATGGTGTTGAGGTGAAGACAGGCTGTGCCTTAGCAGGTACCGCTAAGCGCATGAGCCAGAACAATTTGTTGGCAATTACAGTTGTGAGCAAAAGCTTAGTATAATGAAATATTTCTACAATTAAGCTTAACTACAGCCGATGTTAATGCGCTTGGACTTCTGTAATAGAATTTGATTGTGGATGAGCTTTTGGTAAAACTTTAGAACCGTTTCAAAATTTGTAAGACGCTTTACACATTCAAAAAGTCGAGAATTCCCGCGTTGAGCTAGTAAATTTCCTCAAAGACCAAATAAAATATACTATGTATTGAAAGTCACTTTGCAGTAATATTTGAAATACTAATCTCTAGGAATCTCTACTAACAATATTCTAACAGGTCGTCCTGATTTTTTTATGCTTAATTTGTTGGCTTTCGTCTTTACTATGCTTTGTCATTTTGTGGCGGCTTTAATTCTACTTGAGCAACTCTGGACCGGATTTTCATTCCGATAAGTTTTAATACGCCACAAACAATATTTTATATTACTCCTTATATAGAGGCAATATACCCTCTATATAGAGGTAGTATACCCCTTATATAGAGGTAATATACCCCTTATATAGACGTGATATAAAATATCGATTTTGTTCTGATGCATTAAAAATTATTTTTAAATAAAATCATCCCTGTTGGCGACTCTGGATTGGGCAATAATATTCTTCGATAATATTATATTATTGATATAAATCTTTTTGATAAACTGACTTGTGTTCCTAATGTTTAGCTTAAAACCGAGCTATAGAAGAATATTGTTTATGTAAAATCAATATATCACTCGTGATCTACAATTGGTGAGCAAGATTATGGTGAATTAAATATTAAAAACTGCTTTTTTGAAGGGTCTACTGGCTGTTTTTGATGCAGAGATAGTCAAGATTAGGTGAACAGATAGATATCGGTGGAAGTAATGTTCTAAAGTTGGCAGAAAAAGTGCCGTTGTTTTTTAAATATAATAATAAGTTCAACTTCGCGTGGTTCGAACTAATTCAGCAATAAAAACTGTTCGCGAACGCATTCGCAGAAATCCGCTTAGAAAACGGAAAAATATGTCAAGTGAAATAAATGAATCGACCATACAATGTAAATACTTATTCCACATGAAAGCCTACCGTCGGTCAACTGATCATCTTCTGACAACACGCTTGAAGCATACTCATAATATGCTCAACAGATGCAAGCGGCTTCTTCAGTGCCACACGGTCAACGGCCATGAAAGTATTTTTTTGCAGATGAGAAAAGGTTTCTATTAAGCAAAGCGACATATCTACGCAAAAACTTTCAAAGTCGCAAAACACCGTTACACGTCTTTACTTCTGTAAAAAAAAGGCGTTCAAGCTGGTGTGAAAGCAGAATGTTTTAGACGGATTGGAAAAGCAATTAAGCACAACTCTCTTCCATGGAGACCATTGCTTCCTCAGCAAGATTCTGCTCTAGCACACAATAGCGCAAAAATAATATTCCTGGTTTCATAGCTGCAGATGATTGGCTGACTGGCAGTTCTGATTTGTATCCATTGGACTGCAATTTGTGGTGAGAGTTGAAGAAAATTCCACAGAAATTTGAAGATTCTCAAAAAATATTTTAACAGCGTCGTCAATACCATTAGAAACTATGCGTGCTGCTATTGATCAAAATCCGAATCGTTTGAGAGCAAGCTAAAGGTGACCGTTTCGAATAAAATTTTACACATCGCTCATCCATTTTATGCAATATTAAATAAAATTAACTTTGTTAAAAAATATATTATAGTTTCCTTTTTATAATGGCCTGAATTTGTAACAGAACTTATGGCGGAAATAAGTATTTTGTATCCTGTATACTAGGGTGGTGCGAAAAAAAAATTTTTGTTTATTATTTTATTTTAATTTTTGTTGTAGATTATAGAAAAATAAAAGTTTTGACAAAAAAAAACTTTTTTTTAACATCTAGAGGTTGAGTGGGCCAGTTTTAATGTAAATTTCGAGGTAAATTTTTTTTCGAACAAGAATAAGTTATTTTTTGTTTAAACTCTTCAAATTTATATAAAAACTACCGAATGTGATGGTTTTTGACTCAAAATTTATTTTAACGCTTAAGAAAAGCATGTTGTCGTTTAAGACTGTTTTTTAAAACTCCAATAATAACCACAAAATTTTTTTTTAAGTTGATAACTTTTAAATGGCCAGAAAGAGGACTCTCCACAGCTTCTAGAACCCTTATCATACTTTTTTACGAAATAAAAATTTTAACTCGAAAATTTACGTTAAAACAGCTGATGTAAAATATTTTGTTTTTGTCCAAAAATTTTCTTTTTTTGTAATCTACAAAGTTTCCCCTCAGGCTAAGCAAAAAGTTTTTTCGTTCTACCCTACTATATACTATACATATATAATAATACTATATACTCAGTTCAGTCTGAGGGTAAGTTGGATGAAATTAATCTTACATTTGGGCTCCAATGTTTTATTTCATAAATTTTTTTGGTGTTTGTAAGAACTAATTGTGGAATTTCCTAATATTCTATACTTCTATACAAAATTTCGAATGCCTTCCTGATATCTAAATAAAGCTCGTCTGTAGAGAGTGACATTGGCCCGAAAGGAGCGAGTTTTTCGATTTAGTTTCATATTAACCGAATTTTTAACTGAACTAAACTCATATTGTTATATTCCACAAACGAGAAGATCGAGTACAGCATTGCGTTTGTCTCTTCAAACTATGAATGAAGCGTATACAGTGTGAAAGCGATTTTCTGTTTTGGTTTTATGATTAGGAAGATAGTTGCGACCTTGTAAAATGGGTTGAGAAAGGCAGCAAAAATTAAACATGAGTCACCTGACAAACTTCATTCGATCAACTCACAGCATAGAAGATACAGGTCTCGGATATAAATCAAGTCCACTTTATATATTTTATACTTTGTATTGTATATTATTACTTGAACTTTTTCTTGACCTTGCAAGCTTTTGAAGTATTTTCAATTATACAGCACGCAAGAAGCTTAAGGCTAACTTAAACCAAAGAAAGGCCTAAGCAAACCAACAAATTTGTTTCAGAAACACAACTACAATGACTTACTTGTCGCGTTTCGGTTTATCCTCCGAGCTGTCGTCCTTCATAAAGGACGGCTGCAAGCTGAAACGTCTGCGTAGGTGGCGACCGCGCATTTTGGCGTCGTAAGCGTAGATCGCTGTGCGAGAAAAACTGGCGCTTGAGTACGTGTGTAAATTCCAAATTCCAAAAGCCGACGGGTGTTTACAGCGCGCACGCAGCGGCTCTTAAGTATATTGTTGCACTACAGGTGAGTGCGCTCGCAAGCAAGTCGTGTGTCACTTGCAACTTAAATTGTGTCACAATTGCTGCAGCACCAAAATGTTGCGTGTATCTATCCAACTATAATTTACACGCTTAACTTATCAGCTTTACTTTGTCGCTTTTCTTGCTTTGCTGTCGAGGTACCCGCTCAGTTGTGCGTAATTCGGCTCAGCGCGGCGCTGCTTGTGCGCTTTATGACTTCGGGTGATTTTTCGCTAGAGCTCAACGTTTCACAAATATTGTTGTTTCTGTTGCTGTTTTTTGTGGCTGCAACAAATGTATTTTATGTGCTGTCGTGCTCGTATTTCGCGTCGTGATGCTATAAATCATGCAGCTACCGCTTTATAGTTGTTGTTTTAGTAATCAAGCCTGCTCTGGTTCAATTGTCGCAGTGTCACTGCGGCTTTTTGCTGTTTCTTTAGCACGCTTTAAGGCGCATTTTGCAACATCTTGTGTGTATTAAATATCTGCTGGATAATTTACAACAATGACAAAGTGTTCTGCTGATTCGCCTTAAGAGCTGCTCTGCTGCCGGGGGACTAGCGCTTCAGCGCACACACACACACACCACACACACACTCACTTATATTGACTGCGAAAGCTGTGAGGCGTGCACACAATGTTTTATAGCACTAATATTTGTATTCAACGGTACTTTGTTTTTGCCCAAGTTTGTGCGCGTGTGTGTGAGTTTAAAGTTCGTCAAGCTGAGTTTTTTTTATTTCCTCCTGTTTTCTTAACAGTCGACTTTTTTGTCCTCTAAAATATTGACTTGTAGCGTTTTTTGGGATGTTTGCTCCCTTTCTCCCTTCTATCTCTTCTTCTCTATTTTATTCTTCTCCCCTCAGATCGACTGACTGACTAAATGCCAAGTACGAGTGGTTGCTTTTAGCTGCTAGCTGCTGTCATTTGTCTTTCGTTCACAAATATTTACTGCCAAAATGTTGTCTTCCCCAGCCGTAGCAGTTGCCAAATGTGTTTAGTTGTTGTTTTTGTTGTATTTTTTAATCCACGTTAACGTTTCGCCGCAGCCAAATATGCAAATGGTTTTATGCGCTTTGATGGTGCTCTAATTGGTGCAAAAGTATTTAGGCAATTTCCGCGCGCAAAAATGTTGCAGCACTTCCTTCCTCAATGGCGACCCGGCAACTGTAAGCGTAATAATGGTATGTAAATGTAAATATATTTTAAATTATTTTTAGCAAGATTAAAATAGTTATTTTTATTATGTAAATGGAAAGTGGATTTCATAAATTCAATGCATACTGCTCTACATCAAGCGTATGTTAGCGAATGCCCTGTAGGAAATTGTACTTAACAGCATATCCTTCTGAAAACATAGGTGGCGCTGTAATCGGCTTTTTTATAATGCACTGATTACCTTAGATCTTACTGGTAGCGAGTGGAGCTAATACTTAATAGCCGAATTACCCATATATAAATCCTAAATGCAACGCTATGTCTTTCAACTGCTATCTCTATATCGAGTACATCGAAGTCCAAATAAGCTCCTTTGGGTTGTTTTTGACCCCCAAACTTATTATATAACTGAAACTCCATTAGCAAGTATAAAGCTTAATGTGACGTTTAGTGATTTTTTTGATAATCGGTAATTCTATTTTTTCAAAACGATAAAAAGAGAACGGTTAACGAGGAACGGTTGCACACACAGTGTGAAGGCGATTTTTGCAACTGATTGAACTGAGCGGTTACACTTTAGAATGCTGTAACTCAAAAAAAATTTGAGATATCGAATCAAAATATTAGAAAGTTGTATGCCATTGAATCAATTTTTTATAGATATCACAAACGGTGTGTCCCTTAAAAGAATAAACCGCATTTGACGGAGAAGAAAATGCTTTTTTCAAGAAGAAGGTCTTGTTTCTACTGTCTAACAATAAAATGAATAATTTAGCGACGCCCTTCTAAATATACAAAATAAGTTCTTTCATACAGAAATCAAATTAGTGGCCTTAATTTGTCTTCGATTAACAATTATTTTATTATACTTTCGAAATTGAAATCACTACAATCATCAGAAGATTCTTAGTATTATTTAAGTGTAATTCCACGAATATATTAATTAAAAAAAAAATATACCCAGGGTAAAAAAGGCTGATGAAAGGTATATGATAATCAAAATAATTATAAACGACCTACATATCGTAAACTTATTCCACAGATTAGATCTTACTCAACATCAATGTCTTTATGAAAATTTGCTGCTTCAAAAAAACATTTTTTTTTGGGATTTGTTAGGCTTTCATAAAGTTTTACTGAAAGCTAGTGACTAGTTTCTAAATACTTATACTTTTGATTTCATTCAAATAATACCAATCCTGTTTAAATATATGATACCCTGACTAGTTCGAAAATTAGTATTAGCTGCACACTCAGTACTGCTAGAACACAGAAATTATGAAGAAATTAAACTTTTATTTAGATTGAGTTGAGATCTATATCATGATCATATATTGTTGGTTGAAAGTATGTAGCTAAGCTTTTTATCACTCAACCTAATCTACCGCATAATCTACCTTATTTATCTAGTAAGATTTTATAAGAAAATTTCATAAGAAACAAATAATATACAGTACCGACAGCGTAACTTTGTTTATTTATGAATGAATAAGCGTACATTTTTGACAACTTTCATTATTATTGTCGTCGCGCGGCTTTATCTTTGCTTCACTTTTTGAGAATGTGTTGATGTAAAAGTGCTGCTTGTGTTAAAATGTATTGTTTTGTTTGTCAACAACTTTGTGGCATTTGTGTCTCCTTAATTTGTATATTTTATTCATTTAATTAAGAATTTGACAGCGGAAGTTTAAGAAGTGACAGAAGCTGTTCACATCTGAGCAAGTGTGTATTACTAAAATTAAATAATGAATAAGAAAAAATATTTAAAAATATTATATATTTAATTGTACATTATTCACACAGAAAATTTAACATAAAGCCTTATTTTAATACTTAAATAATTGAAACTTGTAATTGTATGATGTATTTATAGTTTGTCAGAGCGTATACGTAACACACAAAAATAGTGCTTAGGCATGCTATTGGTATTCAGCAAAGAAATTCAATAAAGATTGAATAACATTTATGAAATGATAAATTAGTGTACATTTTTAATAAAGAAAACTATTGAAATTACACAGATACGCCTGCTCTCACTGACACATATTTCTATATATTCTACTAACTTTTATTGGCAGCATAGCAGGAAATCCGTTCCAGACCTTCTGCTGGCCTTCACAGCTTACCACGAAGTTTGTAGCACCTAAAAGGAAACGTCGAACACACTATAAAGTCCACATACTTCAATTAGATTTACGAGCTGAGACGATTTAACCATGTTCGTATGTCTGTCTTTATATACGCGATAGGAATCACGTGCTTGTTTGGAAAACTTTTTCATTTAACAAGAGAATTTTACAACATTTGGCAAGAACTATTTTCCAAAGCAACGGTATCGCCTCCAAAGAAATTGTTTAGATCGGACCACTATAGCATATAGCTGCCATAAAAACTGACCGATCAAAATCAAGTTTTTGTATGGAATATTTTGTATTTGTGAATGGTACAATAGTATAGCTTCGGTGCATCTGAAGTTAACGTTTTTTCTTATTATTTTTCGATCTCCATGAATTACCCTCTATAATTTAATTTTTTCCTCTTATCTTTTATTTATTCTTCAAACACTTGCATTGATTTGGAAACTTTCTGTTATTGCTCATATATTTTGGTTCAATTTTCGTCTATTCCTCCTGACTGAGAGTGTGAGTCGGAGTTGAATATACTTGTATGTGTATTATTGTAAGTACTAAAATATTTTTCTCATTTACAACCAATACATACTTTTATATACATTTTATATATTATCTATGTGTGAATGTAAGCCAACAATTTTATCTCTGTATTGACATTTAAGTAAAAGATAATGTGATTATTTTTGATTCGGAAAGTTCTTAAATTACACGCAAATAAATTAATTAAAAATGTTTGCGTAAAATGAATGCACTTACAGCTATTAGAGTGTGTCGCCTTCGTGCCGCCAGAGCAGAGTAAAGTAAACAACAGCACACAAATAAACAAACAATGAAGTATGTAATTTAAATTGACTGCATTAACAATGTGCGAATATATGTGAATTTAATACACAAATTTACATATGTATGTGTGCGTTCGTGGCGTGTTACTTGCGACCATATCGCCAACCGGGCTTGGTGGAGTGCCATACGCCATGGCCCAGATAAATTGTGATATTGTGCTGAAGTTTATGCAAACTTTGACTTTTCAACCTCATTTCTGAAAACCGCAAATTTGTTGCTTCGCAATAACCCGGAAAATAAGAGAATGCGAGCGAGGCGAATGCCAAGTGAAATTGTGCGCTGAAATGCGCCGGAAAATGGAAAGTGGAAATGCGAAGTAAAGTGGCACACATTGCATGCACGCACATACACACACACACACACATTTATAGAGAATGCATAAAGCACTTTGTAAATGAGTGTGTGTGTGTGTGTGTTTGTTGGTGTGTCAGTAGTGACTCCCGAATGCCAAATAAACATAACAACAGCAGCGCAAAAGCTCAGAGAGACAGACACACAGCGACAGGCAATCAGCCGCGGCAGTAGCAAGCGAGTTGCCTGGCAAGCTAGTTGGTCCTCTGGCAGCTGTAATTTCAGCAGATAAAGTTTATTGTAAGCGCTCAACTGCGAACTCACACCCATCACTGACGTTATGTCTTGGCAATTTCATTTGTGTACCGTCTTTTCTGGCAAAGTGCTGCTTAAGACCCGGCGGCTGTATGCAGTCTGTTTGCCAAAAATTATGCGCTTCTTCGCTCGTGCTGCCATTATCTTTAGTGTGTTTGTAACCCAGGGTAATTTGTTGCAAAAGAGTATTCTCAATTTGTTGAATAAACTTGTGCTTGAGGTATTGAGGTGAATATGGCAAGGCGAGACGCTTCATCAAGAATAATGGCAAACAGAGGCTGCGTGATGCTAATTAGCTCAGTAATATTGTATGCGCCTCCCATTTTTAATCCAGGCTTTAGACATCAAATCCGATGCAAGATCAATAAACACAGTGCATCGACTTTCTGCAATACGAATAATTAGTGCTTTCCGGATTATATCAAACGACGCTACCGACGTCTTAGCCAGTATTACGCCCATTAGCATGCAGATAGAAGAACTTGAGCGATGGTTGCTCCCACTATAAAAAAGAAAGCCAAGATGGGTAAGTTTTTCAAAGCTTAACTGTAGTTGTTGTATCGTCAAAAAAAACATTCCTAAACTAATGTTGAAAAATGCCGTCGAGTTTATAGTCCTTGGTCGGATACAAATCAGAGTCCATTCCGGTTGTCTTGACTAGACTGTCGTGAGAACGCCGAACTAACCGAATCTAGCGGAAGTATTTTTCTGCGGAAGTGTCTTTGAAACTTCATTCGAGATACTCGTATAGCTGTGCTTATGGTCTGTTAGGTACAGAAGAAAGGGTCGTGTAGAAACCCTGATCATAAAACAACGAAATGACTAAGTGATTAGAAGTGACAACCGATTTCACTAGAAAAATAGTACTACTATTAGAAACACTAAAGTTGAAGTTGATTAACACTACTTCTAATATAGGTTTATCTCTCATACTTCTCTTTTTAAGTACTGCAAACGAACTGAAAAGACAAGAAGTGGAGGGCAGTTTGGAGTTCTCATGTCAAGACATGTTGCAATTGGCATAAACGCTTGCAACTGCTGGTGAATTCGTTCATCCCTTATTTGTTTGTTCGTTATCAAGCTTGTTGGTCTTGCTGTTAATGTTCTTGTTGCTGAGTAGCTTAATGCAAATAAGCATTCCTCAATTGGTTGTAAATTTATTTTGAATTAATTTCTCCTTCAGCTGTGACACCTAATTTTTCGTTGTAATTACTATTACTTCCGCTTCAGTGGCGCTCATTCCCCCCCTTCCAACGCCAGCCGCTAGCTCAACACCGCAGCCTCAATGCATGGGAAAAGTTTTTGTGCTGAAAAGCAGGAAAACGAAATACAAAAAGGGTTTAAGTGCGCATTCAAGCGAGCTTAATGAGGATGAAAGGAAGTCAAAGGAAAACAGTAAGGAATATCACTGGAATTTTTGTGCAAAAC